ATTGGGGTAACTGAAGCTAACGAAGCTTCCTTTGTGTATAGTTCAAGTGGTGAATCTGATTTTGGAAATGGCGGAGGTGCGTCAACGCCAGCCTACTCATTGAACCTGTGGATGCGATGATTGGCGAGGATCGGATGGGCCAGATTCTTCATCACATCAATGATATCAAACATAACTTCCATATAACTACACCTACCTCATTTGGACTAATTTTAATTTCAATTACTCTGATACTGCATACTGAAACACTCGTTAAAGCTGTTAAGAGGACTTACACCTCCAATCGGGTTAGCTAAAGATTATTAAATCAGTCTTTGAAAGTGAGAAGCGAGCGGGTGCTGCAAAGCTTGTAAATTAAAGTGGTCATGCAACCGCTTTATAATTTAGTTTTAGTAGGAGAGTGGGCACCTGAGCGCAATGGAACTGGCTAGACAAAGAGGCGACAACAACAACGAAATGGCTCAAGAAAGCTGGTGAGCTAATTTAGAGCAAACGCCTCCTGACAGATGATAACTGAAGTTTTCTGTGATGTGAAGTTTATATGAAATAATTCATATATGAAAAGCGGTTGTAGATCAAAAAGTGAAGAATGATCATCGCAGTAAATTTTCCAATTTAAGCAATTGAAAGAAGAAGCCTGAAAAAATCAGGGCTTCAACGGGATTCGAACCCGTAACCTCCGCGATACCGGTGCGATGCTCTACCAACTGAGCTATGAAGCNTCAATTATTGAGTTCATATCTTCCCGTGAGGAGTGAAATGATGTGAAGTTTATATGAAATAATTCATATATGAACTGCGGCTGTAGATGAAAGTTGTAAATTTCACTTCTCACGGGAAGATATGAACTAGTAGTTGACCTAATCGCATTTTCAACGCATTAGAGCACAACCAGTACGTTTTCGTTTTTCCGTTTTCGATGCCATCGAGATTATTAATATTGTATGGTGAAGCAAAATCTTACTGCTTTACTCTAAGTTGTGTTCCTGAAAGTATTTTAATTATTTTTAGTAGTTTCACAGTCGTTTCCTTTCTTTCGATATCTTCCGAATAAAATGTAATAGCTAAACTCTCTCATGTAAACAAAAACAAAGGTGTGGTCTACTAGGGCCCTTTAAAGACATAAAATTGAGAAATAAAATGTTACTTGGTCCTCACGCTTACCTCTCCATGTGCTAAACCGTGAAACTGAGTCACTGATATTCAAGATTCTAGTGACTGATTTCGCCTGTTATCATACCAGGATAGACCTTAAAGCAAAGGAAAAAACTGGGTACCCAAAGGGTACATGTGTGGGATACGTGGATCCAAAATGCAGCGCAATCTCTGCAACTCATTTGCATTAACGGACACGAGCCCATGACAGTAGTGTGGAATACCACAGGTATCCCACAAAAAATACTGGTTATCCTGCTTTATTCAAGTTAAGATGATTTAGAAAAGTAGATCGATAATATTTGATAAAGCAGGCATGTCTTTGTTTACAGTACTAGTATATACTCTTTTTTTTTGTAAGAATATTGCGAACGGTTTGGCAGAAGCTGAATATTCTTATTTTTCTGCCGATTTTAGACTGAAAATATTCCTTTGAAGTTTCTTAGATTATAGCGTACGACATATCTGTATTCGAATGTGTATGGTGTGTGAATGATGGTGAAGTAATTTTGGAGCCAGACTGCAAGTATTAAAAGCTGATATTGCCTGATTTCAAGCAGAAAAAGACTAGGTACGAGTCTGTAAATTATGGGATAAGCAGCTATTGATCCACATAGTCAGAAAGAGCACACCGAGATTCACAAAGTTCCCGAGTTTGGTGTTAATCAGGCTAGTTTTGACTGAGATACAGCCATTTAAAAACGTCAAAATTAAAAAAAGAAATGTTCGGTCATCCGGACGCGGCGTTCGGATGGCCATACATTTCATTGCAAATTTTGACACTTTCAAATGGCTGTATCTTGCTTTCTATTCGGTCTATTTACAGCAAACTTGGGGATTTTGCAAAGCTTGGTCTGCACTTGACTATGACTATGTGGATCAATAGTTGCTAATCCCATAATTTATAGACTCGTACCTAGTCCTATTCGGCTTGAAATCAGGCAATGACACACATAGTTCTAACAGAAATGTTATTTACATCGAACATACGGCTAGTGCTGTCTTTGTTACTTTTTGGCCTTTTTTGCCGATTAGAGAAAGGAAGAACTTTATACGGTTTACTTAAACACATGTAACTGTATTGTACTTACAAATGTTTGACACAAAATGGTATTGTTTTGAAAATTTCAGCCTCGGGTTTATTCTTAAATTGTTCTTAAAATTTTGTTCCATTAAAAAGATTTGTTTCTTTATTTATGGTGTCCCCAATTAACACAACAGTGCCAAATAAATTTGACAATTAAATAAGGCTTTTTATTATTTTCTCTAAAGGCGCACACTGTTTATTTAGTTTAAACTAGTTTAGTAAGTCCAAAATAACGTACTGCGTAAAAAAGTTCCGTAGCCTGCTTAGTCTGTATGCGCATGCGGCGTACATCTCACTCGTGATCAAGATAAAGTCAAATATAATCTACAACGATATCTACACTGAGCTTTATGTTTGCCAGACCAAACGTAATGAGATAACCTAACGGTCATAACGAACCAAAGACACCGCATCTTGTTGTTGAAGTTGTTGTCTATCTATACTGAACACAAAAAAGATTGGTCTGAATAATTTGCATGTAAAGGTTAGAATAGCCACCCCACATCAGGATACTGTTGTATATCATGTATTTGAACTTTGCATCCTCGTCATTGCATATTTTTGTGGCGATGCTTCGCTTCACTGATAATGGATTATTTTGTTAAACTGAA